TGCCCTCAGTGGCCCCGTCCTTGCCCTCCGCGGCCAAGTATACGTACGCCTTTCGTGGCCCCCGTTCGTTCGCGCCCGTTGTGGCCCTATGTGCATGCCCTTCGTGGCCCCGCTGTCGCCGTTTGTGGCCCCCTCACTGTCCTACGTGGCCCACTTGCTACCTTCAGTGGCCCCGTCGTTGCCTTCTGTGGCCCCGCATGATCTGCCCTTCGTGGCCCCCGATCGTTTGCGCCCGTCGTGGCCCCATGCGCATGCCCTTCGTGGCCCCGCTGTTGCCCTTCGTGGCCCCCTTCCTGCCCTTCGTGGCCCCGCTGTCGCCCTTCGTGGCCCCCTCGCTGCCCTTCGTGGCCCCGTTGCTGCCTTCAGTGGCCCCGTCCTTGCCCTTCGCGGCCCAGCATACGTATGCCCTTCGTGGCCCCCGCTCGTTCGCGCTCTTCGTGGCCCCATACACATTCCCTTCGTGTCCCACTGCCGAATTTCGTGGCCTACTTCGTGTCCTTCTGGCCCTGCTGTCGTTCTCTCTCGCTCTCGCTCTCGCTCGTCGTCGTCGTCGCCGTCGTCGTCGTCGTCGTCGCCGTCGTCGTCGACGTCGTCATCGTTGTCGGCGTCGTGGTCGGTCCCCTGTCCGTCCCTCTCGGGGACGGGTCGACGGTCCGCGGCCGCCCCGCCGATCAGCGTTGCCGTTGGCCAGGCCGACGGTCCGCGGCCGCCCCGCCGCTTGCCAGGGCCCGGCCTGCAGGGAAGAAAGGTATACCCCTCAAAAGGGGCTTGATCGAAGACGAAGAGGGCGGGTACCGAGGGTTTGGGAAATACGCGTTATTGGGCACTCGACCGGATAAGGGCGAACAGTCTTAAAGTGATTGCTGTTGTTGTTCTCGTTGTCGTTGTCGTTGTCGTCGTCGTCGTCGTCGTCGTTGTTGTTGTTGTTGTTGTTGTTGTTGCTGCTGCTGTTGTTGTTGTTGTTGTTGTTGTTGTTATTGTTGTTGTTGTTGTTGTTGTTGTTGTCGTCGTCGTCGTCGTTGTTGTTGTTGTTGTTGAACATTATTTATTCTAAAGAATAATTATTGTTGGGCCCCCTGATGCGCGCCCCCCCTGCGCCGCCTAGGCCGCAGCTACATTTTCATCATTTTCGTGAGGAAGCCTCAGAAAAGAGGGTGTGTACAGGATCCGGTTGTTTTGTTGTAATCCGCTTTCCCTTGCAAAAAACAATAGAAAATGACATTTCTTGTTCTAATATAATCAAATTTCAAGAATCCCTTGCAAAAAATAAGGTAAAGTGGACATTCGCGCGCGCAAGACGAAATCCTTCCAAAACCTTAGTGTTCGCAGCGATTTTAACATAAAAACATCAAAAAACCAATGGTTTTTCAACAAAAAATGTCAAAATCTCATCCCGCGCGCTCTTGCGGATTCGTAGGAAACCCAACACTTTTTAAACATTTCTGTCAAACGGGCTTTTGCGAGCAACTTTTTCGAACTTCTGCGACAACGGTTGCGCACCTGCCAGGGCCATCATCCCTGTCAAATAATACCATGCGGGACACATTCGTTTTTTCTTCGCGCGCGCACGCCGTCGTCGTCGGCCGCGGGGCCCTGAATAGTAGCCACGGTCGTCCGCATGCCACGAAGTGAAGTGTCCGAACGTCATAGGGCGGGAAGCTGGGTGTGGGTGGTGGCGAAGAGTCGTTTGGAAATTTGGTAGAGCTTGAACCGGCCCCCCCACAAAGTGGGGGTATTGCCCGCCTCCTATGAAAACCCTGGCACTGGTGAGGACGGTGTGTCCCCACGTGCTAGTAATTGTTGTTGTTGTTGTCGTTGTTGCTGCTGCTGCTGCTGTTGTTACTGTTGTTGTTGCTGTTGTTGAACTCTCACTTCTGAAGAATAATTATTGTTGGTCCCTCCTCAGTGGTGCATGCGGTTTTTTCTCAGTCCAAGTGTGCCCCTCGACGCTCGCACCTTTTTTTTTGGGTCAGGGAAAGTCTCGGTGCTCAATCTATGCCCCTGGCCCCCTGGATTACAACAACAACGGCTTCCGCTTGAGACCTCTTTCGAAGTTACTCAGAAACCCCGCTCCCGCCTCAGACTTCTCCATCATTTGCTCCGGACATGGGCTCCCGCTTGTGACTACTTCGCAGTTTAGTCAGGACCCCCGCTCCCATCTGAGACTTCGTCACAATTTACTAAGGAACGGCGCTCCCGCTTCAGACTTCTTCGCAATTGAATCAAGACCCCCTAGCAATTTAATCCAGACCCCCGCTCCCGCCAGAAAGCCCTTCACATCTTATGAAGGAATTGCGCTCTCGCCTGTGACTTCCATGCAATGGATTCAGAAATCGCGCTTTCGACGCTCAGTAAACACGCTGCGCCAATGACGCCGTCACCATTTACTTAGGAATCGCGCTCTCGCCATACTCAGGCATCCCGCTTGCATGTCCCACCCGCCCGACCCGCCCGTCAGGGGATCGCCCGCCCGTCGTGGGCTCCCGCCCGAGACTTCGTTCAGGACTTCTTCGGACGTTCGCGCTCTACCTTCGTGCTCCTCCTCCCTCTCTCCTCCCTCCTCCCTCCTCTCCTCCCTTTTTTCGCCCTCCTCGCTTACATCATCATTGTGCATATCTGCCCTGTCTCCTCTCCCTCCTCCCTTCTCCCTCCCCTCTCCTGCCTCCTCCCTCCCTCTTTCTTTCTTTGTTTCTCTCTCTCTCTCTCTCTCTCTCCTCTCTCTCTCTCTCTCTCTCTTTTCCCCGACCTCTCTTACATGTCTTTGTTTGTTATCTCTCTGTCTTTCTCTCTCTTTCTCTCTGCCTCTAATCAACCGCCCCCCTCTTCGCTCCTACTCTCCTGGCGTTTTCCCTCTTGCTACGTCGCTCCCCCTCCCTTCCTCCCACGTTCCCTCGTTCTCCCCCCCTCTCTTTGCAGGGCCCACACCAATTCCAATGGCGGGCGCATGTACGCCCACGAAAGATTGTCCGATCGTTCAGGTTCGCCCGCCTGTCTAAGTCCGCCGCCCCCCGCAAAGAGAAATATGTATTCCAAAGGTCGTGTGGTCGAAGACAACAATAGATGACACACGGGCAAGCAAGAGCAAACAGTCTTAGACTTGTTGTTCCTGCTGGTGTTGTTGTTGCTGTTGTTGTTGTTGTGTTTGTTGTTGTTGTTGCTGTTTGTTTGTTTGTTTGTTTGTTTGTTTGTTTATTTGTTTGTGTGTGTTGTCAGTGTTGTTGTTGCTGTTGTTGTTGCTGCTCTTGTTGTGCGGTGGGTGCCGCGGACAAACAATTATTCACCATGCGTGGGACCCCGGTCCGTCAATTTGGCCGCCGAAATATTTATCCCGCTTACATCGGGTCTTTGGGGAGGAGGAGGAAAAGGAGGAGGAGGAGGAGGAGGCGGCTCTAGACATGCGACGTCCAGATGTTCCAATATGCGTCCCCCAGAAATCCCGATCCTTTCTCTTGCCTGTGCGTTCCATCCTGAATCGTTATTTAACGGCCACGGGGTAATTATTTTTTGGGCCCCCAGAGGCCCATGACGGGCAACAAATCCAGCTTTTTTCAAAAAAGGAGCGTGTCCGGGGATGGAAGATCGGATTCCGTCAAAGGACAGGAAGAGGAAGAGGAGGAGGAGGAGGAGGAGGAGGAGGAGAACCAGTGGAAACCAACGGGTCATCAACGATAGGCCCCTGCAGCGGCTCATGTCCACTGAGGGAACCGCCTCGTTGGAAGACAACCATTTGAAGACCCTGAGGCATGCCAGAACCATGTTCTCGGGATTTCAACGCCACGGGTGAACCAGATTGTTGCGCTTTGACGACTTTGAACCGCCCCAGAACACCCTTTCTGAAACTTCAACAGCGAATCAACATAACGATTGCGCCCTCATAATCCTGAACCCGTCCGAAACATTATGTTTGGTACATTGAGCATGGGAATCCCGGAAACTCTTGCAAGTGTTAAAGAACGGATGTGCGCGGCGCTAAGGCGAGAGCCTCAATTTGAGAAGTAACCGCCCTCAACCCGTGAAGCTCTTGCACCTGTTTAAAACGAATGTGCGCGGCGTTAAGGCGAGAGCCGTTTTGAAAACGACCCGCCATCAATCCGTGAAGCTCTTGCAAATGTTTAGCTCGAGTGGTCGCGGCGCTAAGGCGAAAGCTACATGTTGGAGAGGAGCCGCCCTGAATTTGCGAAAGTCTTGCAAATGTGAACCACATGTTGAAGACCACCCGCAGTCAATCAGTGAAACTCTTGCAATATTACGAATGTGCGCGTTGCTGAGGCGAGAGCCACATTTTGGAAACCACACGCCCTCAATCCGTGAACCTCTTGCACATGCTTAAAAAGAATGTGCGCGGCGCTAGGCGAGAACCACATTTCGGAAACCACCCGCCCTGAATCCGTGAATCTGTTGTCATGTTAAAGCTTCGTGGTCATGGTGAGGACGTGTCAGGCTAAGCGCCCGGCCCGCTTTAAAAATTGGCCTCGGGGGGCGACAGAGGGAAGGTATTCATAAGGAACAGGAATGGAGGAGGAAGAGAAGGAGAAGGAGGAAGAGGAGGAGGAGGAGGAGGATGAGGAGGGGACGCCACGTGCTCTCGGGTTCTCCCATCGACTTGCTTGCTTGAGAGAGGTGGAGGAGGAGGAGGAGGAAGAGGAGGAGGAGCAGGAGGCGGGAGAGGAGCAAGAGCAGTAGCAGGAGCAGGAAGGAGTGGCCTTGCTCGCTGGCTTCAGCAGTGCGTGCTGCCGAGAGTGCCCGGCACCACCGACTGTTTGCTCCTGCTGGTGATATTGGTAGCAAATCATGGGAGCCTCGTATACCGTCCCATGTCCGTCTTCAGCGTCGATTGGCGCCGAGTAGCGTCCAGTAGTCGACGAGACAGCGTCGAATCTGCGTCGATGTAGCGTCGATCACCGTCGACTCGCGTCGATAAGTGTCAGCCACCACGATCGTATGAGCGGCCCCCACGAGTTGCCACCGGAGCTGACGAGGGGCCCGGGCGCGGGCCGCCAGGAGCGGCGGAGGGCCGCGGCGAGCCTGGCGCCGCAGCCGCTAACGCGCCGCGTCGCCCTGCGGGAGCGGCGTTGTCGGCCTCGTCGTCTTCGCTGTCGTCGTCGTCCTTTTCGTCGTTGTCGTCGTCGTCGTCGTCGCTCGGCCTCGGCTTCGTCGTCGTCGCTGGCAGAGACGAGGAGGAGCAGGCGGCGGAGAAAGATGGAGGATGCGGAGGAGTAGGACGGAGGAGGAGGAGGAACATGGATGAGGAGGATGGACTTGGAGGATGCAGGAGGAGGATGGAGGAGGATGAGGGAGATGGAAGATGGAGGAAGAGGATGGAGGAGGAGACAAAGGAGGAGGAGGAGGGAGGACGAAAAGGAGGAAGATGGAGGAGGAGGAACAGGATAGAGGAAGGGGATAGAGGAGGAGGAGGAGGAGGAGGAGGAGGAGGAGAAGGAGGAGGATCAGGAGGAGAAGGAAGAGGAGGATGGAGGAGGACAGAAGGAGGAGGAGGATAAAAGGAGGAGGAGGAGGAGGAGGAGGAGGACGGGGGCGAGGAGGAGAAGTAGGGGGAGGAGGAGCAGGAGGTGCAGGAGCAAGAACAGAGTCCGTGCCAGAGTTGGGTACCAGGACGACGTGTGCCTATTCTGCAGGGCTGAACAACCTGCCGATCGGTGGCCTGCTCTGCTTGCGGGGCCGGCGGCTTGTCGGCACCGACCCCGTGCTCACAACCGAAAAATAATATAGGCCCCTGAACAGTTTGATCGCCTCGGGCACGTTTCGGGGCCACTGGCACGCCCCACCTCGAAGGGCAAGCACTGTCATACACACGCAATCTTTTTCTCACTGACCGTTTTGCCGATCGGCGCAGGCCCTCGCCCCCCCCCCCCCTTCCCCCCCCATGTAGTACAGTCGGGGCCCTGAAGAAGGAACCCTTTTGGTTTGGGAGGGGCTCCGCGTTCCTTAAGTGTTTCACAGCTTGCCTCGGGTTTCCCTTATGTTTTCGATCGGAAATCGAAGTTTAACTTATGGAAAAAAGGGGCCTCGTTCCTTATTTTGGGTTCCTTAGGTCAACGCCCCGACTGTAGGTCTTGGCTGTTCTTTGGCGCCTGCTTCCGGCAATCGCATCGAGCAGAGGTCCGGAGCAAGGCCCGAGGCTGCCTCTCAGAAGGCGCGGGCCCTGCCTGCAGGCGTGGGGCCGCCCCCCCCCCTTCCCCCCCCATGCAGTAGGTCTTGGCTGCTCTTTGGCGCCTGCTTCCGACAAGCGCATCGAGCAGAGGTTTTTTGAGCGAGGCCCGCGGGGCTGCCTCTCGGAGGGCGCGGGCCCTGCCTGCAGGCGAGGGGCCGGCTCCTTCCAAGCAGCTTCCCTCCAAGGAAGCCTGCCCCCCTCCCCCGGCGCCCCCCCCCCCCTGTGCGCCGCCAGCTCCGACAGTCTCGAAGGCCGATTTCTGACCACATCCGCCTCTGGATCCTCGATCCTATGACAGGCCCTCGGGGGTGGAAGTGGGCAGCTTTTCCTTCCCCTGGGGCGGGGAAACTGCCCACCTCCACCTCCGGAAACCGCTTTTCGCAAGGCACCTCGGGAAGTGGGTGTGGTCAGGAATCGGTCTCCTACGGTCTGCCCGGATGAGCAGACAGGGTACACCTTGTGCCATGCGCCTCGCGACCCATGCCTGCATTCCTCTGGCAGCGTGGCCCTCAGAAGTGTCCCAGACCCCCGCCGTCGTGATTTTTGTTTCATCACGTCGACCCCCAGAGGTCTGGACCCCTTCCTCGGGACTGTGTTTTCATCTTGCGTCGTTTTTCGACGGCCTCCAGAGGCCCCGCAGGGGCCTCTGGAGGCCGAGAGTCGCGCAAGCTTCCCGTCGAGATTTGTTCATAGTGCGAGGCGGTCTGGGTACATAAACGTATAGGTTTATCCCTACCCCAACACTGGTATCTCGCCCTCTCTCGGCTCCGATCCCGAGGGTCCCCTCTCGGCTTCTGAGGGCGCTTTCCCCTAAGACTGTCACCGCCCCGGGGCGCGACATTTCTGGGCCTTATCGGGGCATGTCCCTCTACAGGAGGAACATTCAAAAATAGAAAAGGATAGTTAGGGGACGATTTGCCGATTATTGTTTAAGATATTTGGACTATTTTTCAATATGTCATATCTTTCGTCCACAATCCGCCTGTAGGGGGACATGCCCGACCTAATCTGAGGGGTGGAAACAAGTGCGGAGCTGACTGTGGTTGCGCCTGGAGTCGCAGAGGCGCGAGGAACTCCCCTCCTGGTGCGGATGTGGGCTGTGCCGCAGCCCTGGCGAACATCTGGAGATTTGGGTTTTCCGCTGAGCCTCCTGCTGCTGCTCGTTGTCGTCACTCCTTTTGCGAAGGCCCTACGGCCGGTGCCGCCGTCCCTGAAGAACACGACGAGGACGACTCCGACGACGACGACGACCCCTTCTTCCTTATCCCCTATCCTTCTGCTCCCCCCGCCATCCTCTCTGCCGAAGACTTGAGAAGATAATCGAACGCTGCAGAGAACCGCTATACATCCCAGGCATCCAGCGAACACCTGCAGAAACTGGGGCAAAGTTCTTCCGCCCCCTCTCCTCCGTTTCTTTTACCTCCATGACTCCCCGCGACTCCTCCTGCTCCGCAAGCTGCTCCTCCTTTTGCTGATCGTGTCGTCCGTGAGTGCGCGATTGCACCAGCAAGCTCGCAGGTGCGATGCGCCTGCTCCGCTGGTGAGCACGCCTCCGGTGCTGCTCCTCCTTTTGCTCCTGCTCCTCCTCTTCCTCCTCCTCCTCCTCCTGCTCGGTCTCCTCCTCTTCGGTCTCCTCCTCCTCCTCCTCCTCCTCCTCCTCCTCGTCCTCCTCCTCCTCCCATTGTCCGGTCTCCCCCCCACCGGCGGCCTGGCCTCGAGGATTTCGAGGACTGGGTCAGCGGGCCGCTCGCGATCGCCTGGCGGCCCTACTGCCTCCTGAGCAGCAACTGCCGCCGCCCTGGGCCCCTTGAGGATGAGCAAACCCAGAGATCCTACGCTCCAAAAAATTGGAGCAGCGGATTTGTAACCGTTTTCGGCCTCCAGGGCCCACGCCGGGCCTCGGGACCGTCAAACAACGACCCAGGACGAAAAATTGGCCCTAGGGAAGTGGTCTGGACCTCGGGGCCCACGCATCAGAAGGAGGAGGAGGAGGAGGAGCAGGAGGAGGAGGAGGAGGAGGAGGAGGAGGAGGAGGAAGAGGAGGAGGAGGAGGAGGAGGCGGAGGTAGAGGAGGAGGAGGTAGAGGAGGAGGAGGTAGAGGAGGAGGTAGAGGTGGAGGTGGAGGTGGAGGTGGAGGAGGAGGAGGAGGAGGAGGAGGAGGAGGAGGAGGGGCTGGATGTCTGGGGGGTGACGGGTGACGGCGAGACCCTGTCGTTCCGTGCCTCGCTGGCGCCTCGCAGTTGATGCCTCGGCGACTCTTCCTGCTGGAGGGTCCACGCTTTTCCCGTGCCCTGTGTAGCGCCATTTTGGCCGAGACGACGTCTATACAGCCTGGTCGATGCAAAAAGCAAAAAGAACAAGTCAGGGCGGCGCTTGTTTTCCAGTTTCCGGCCCCTGGGTCCAGCAGTGGCGAAGCGTCTTGGCTCGCCTATAGCCCTACCAAACAATGTTCTAAGAACCTTTTGTGGTCTCCACGAAATGTTCTTAGAACATGTCTGGCGGAGCCTGTCCTGTTTTAACACATCGGGTTTACGTTCCAAGAACATTGTTTTGGTCATTAGAACATGTTTGGGTTCTAAGAACATTTCGTGGTAGGACTATAGGAATGCCGGGACGGTCGGTTCCTGCTCAAAGTCAGGGCGGCTCTTGTTTTCCAGTTTCCGGCCCAAGCGTCCAGGTGCTTGCCACGAGCTTTCAGCAGCAGGCCTCCAGGATGAGTGGCCACAGCTTTCAGCAGCAGGCGTCCAGATGTTTGCCACGAGGTGTACAAGCGCCACAGCTCTATAGTGCCGCCGGAGATGCGATGCGATGCGATGAAAGGCCGGTCCTTGGGAAAGGGTCGGGACTTCCGGGGGCCGCGCACTGAAATAGCCAGGACGTCGCATGTCTGGGTCCCTAACTCGGCGGAAGGTGGCGGAAGGTGGCGGAGGTACACCGAGGGCGCTTGCGCCAGCGGGAGGCCGGCGGAAGGCAGCGGAAGTAAAAGATGCCTCCCCCCCCCCCCCCCCCTTCCCACGAGGTGACAGCATTTTTGGACCCAGGGTGTCTGCAGCCCGCCATACAGCGGGAGTCGGGGCTCAAGAGACGGGGGTCAATGCAAACGGGGGCCAGCCAGGGCGCTGGGTCTTGCAGGATCCTGCAGAGCCAGGGGTGCATAGACCCGGGCTTGGGTGCAGGATCCTGCAGGGCCCTGCGGGATTCTGCAGGATGCTGCAAAGCCCGACGGACCCGGGTTTGAGTTGACCCCGGTCAGCAGATCCCTGAGGGAGGAGCGGGGGGCGAGTGATGGGCCTGATTTCCACCACCACCACCACCATAAGTCGGAGGGGGAGGAGGTCCTCCTCCTCCTCCTCCTCCTCCTCCTCCTCCTCCTCCTCCTCCTCCTCCTCCTCCTCCTCCTTCCCCCCTCCAACTTATGCTGGGGGTGGTGGAAAACGGGCCCATCAGCGAGGGTCGACCTTCCCAGGCCCCCGACGTCATGATTTGTTTCAGAGAGTCGAGCCCCAGAGGTCTCGACCCAGGAGGGGAAAAAACACACAGACACAATGAATCGTCGATTCCCCAGAAAATATTGGAAAGTATTGGAAGCGGGGGGGGGAGACAAAAATCTTAGAAAAGGTGGGAAATATGGGAAAACAGTTTTAGTTGTGTGTATATGTATTTGTGTGTCCCAGGGCCCCTTCATCGACCCCTTCCCGGGGGGCCAGTTTCTCCCCCTGGGTCGTTTTGTTGACGGTCCCGGGGCCCGGTGAGGGCCGCTGGAGGCCGAACGTGGCGAAAAACCTCCCGTCGTGATGTTTTTCCTCACGGGAGGGGGTCTGGGACCTTTGTTCGCTCGACGCCGGAGTTCAGGAGGGGGGCCGCGGGACGCGGAGGGGAGGGAGGAGAGGCCGGCCTGCCGACGTGAATCCGGCTGTGAGCTGGTCGATCAACAACGACAAATCGTTTCTGTGCGCAGCTCCCACGAGCTGCGATACGCTGAGGTAGCACGCGCACAGGAACTGCAGTGGATCCCACCAGCCCTTTTGGGCAAAGGCGGTCTGACGCTGTCTTTCTGCCCTCCTCCTCCCCAGGCCCCCGACGTAATGTTTCTTTTTCAGTGCGTCGACCCCCAGAGGTCCCGACCCTTTCCCCAGGTCCGGCCTGGCATCCCGAGTCGTTTTCTGATGCGCCCGAGGCCCGGCGAGGGCCCCCGGAGGCCGAAAATTCAGAAAAACCTCCCGTCATGATTTTTTCGTTACTCGAGGGGGTCTGGGGTGGATCCCGCCAGCCCGTTGGGCGGCGAAGGTGGTCTAACGATGTCTTTCTGCCCTCTCTCTCTGTCTTTCTGTCTGGCGAGGCCGGTCTGGGGAGGCCGACGGGCGTCTCTCAGGAGGGGAAAAAACACAGAGACTCAATTAATCGTCGATTTCCCCAAAGATGTGGGAACATCTGGGAAATAGGGGGGGCAGACGAAAGTCACACAAATATTTGAAAGATACGGGGAATCCTTATGTTTGTGTGTATTTATATGTGTGTCCCAGGGCCCCTTCATTCCTGTCCGACGAGGCCGGTCTGGGGAGGCTGACGGGGGCGTCTCTGCGCTGTGCCTGCGCCGCCCTCGCCCGCGGCGGGCGACCGGCGGCAAGCGGCCACGGCGGCGCCGACGCCCCCGTCCAGGCTCCCAGACCTCCTCGACGCGTCGATCGTCGGGTGACTGTCAGTGCGATAAGAGTGTTCTATGTCAGATGAAATCGTTTCAACGAAGACGTACCTAGGTTCATCTCATATGATCTCACGTATTCAACACTACTCAGATAGCAAGCCGAAAATAGCGAACAACCTCCCGCGGGAGGTTTTTCGCTATTTTCGGTCTCCCGGGGCCCTGACCGGGCCTCGCGGGGGCGTGAACAGAAAACGACCGAGGATGAAGAACCGGTCGTGGGGAAGGGCTCCAGACCTCTGAGGGCCGACGTCGTGAACAGATCACAACTCTAAGGGTCTGGGCTGGCATCAGAATGTGCCCGCTCTCAGAAGAGAGAGAGAGAGAGAGAGCGAGCGAGATCAAAAACGAAGAGATAAAGATAATGAGAAAGAGAGACAGAGAAGGGGAGAGGCGATGCTGATCGCGCCGGTCGCCTTGCTGTTCTGGTCTTGGCCACGCGCCCAAGGTCAGCACTATGCCCGGGACCTCCAGAACTTCCTCATGGACCCCGACCAGACCAGCTGTTTGAAGGATGACCGTGAGGCATCCAGATTGCTTGCGCTGCCCGGCGCTCTCGCACGGAGGGCTGGAAGTCATGCAGATAACCGCATCAAGCAATTAAGACCCCCCCCTCTCCGGCGAAAGTATAACGCACCCGGCACCCCAGAAGTGTGACCCTGGCACCTCGCACCTTTATGTGAACGCAGACGAGTCTGCTCGCCGAAACAAGCAAACCGCCTGAGACATTCTCGCAATATGGTCTCTTTGTGGTTCTGAAACAAGCGCCTCGCCTGAGACATCCTCAGAAACTGCTCTGGACGCAGACGAGTCTGCGTCAGGTGGTCGGTCTGGGCGAGAACTGGAGTGGCCGCGCGTCTTCCCAGCGCTCGGCCTTCCGAGCAGGGGTCCTCTTCCTCTTCCTCTTCGTCCTTCTCACGGGTCCTCCTCCTATTCCTCCTCATCAGGGGTTTCTCCTCCTCTTCCTCCTCCTCCTCCCCACCGTAGCCATTTTGCCTTTATTCGCCATTACGGATCATGCCGAGGGCCAAGGCCTCAGTCAAGAGGCCTTGGCCTAGCTAAACAGAAAATCTCCTCCTTCTGCTCCTCCTCCTCAAGACTCCCTCACGGCACGGCACCAGCACGAACAACGACAATAATACAAGCAATACTAATTGTATCCAGAACAACAAGGCCAATCACAGCAACACCACCAACAACAACATCAACATCAAAAACACCCACAACACCGCCAACATCAACAATAATAACATTAAGTCCCACGCAAGGGAGAGCCCAGCTTTGAAAAGGAACCGTCCGTGCCTACGATGGGGGGCGAATAATTTTGGCGGTGCGGGTGCTAAGATGACGCGCCGTGCGTGGCGGAGGCGATATCCTCGGATGCACACTACCCTACACGACGGCCGGGAAAAACAATGTTTCGAAAGGGTTTTACCAAGAATCGTATAGGACAAGGATGATGAAGAAAACGAGAAAAAAGGAGGGAGGGAGGAAAGAAGCAGGGGAGCCCGTCTGTTTCCTATTTTTATTTTTATTTATATTCTCATTAGTATTCGCATTCTTATTTTGATTAGTATCAATATTCTTATGTTTTCTGTGAGTTGTCGTACTCTTTGTCTTATTGTACTTCTTGTCTTTTTGGACCAGCTGTCGTAATTATTGTGTGCGGGTGCGGTGCTAAGATAACGCGCCGTGCGTGGCGGGGGCGATCTCCTCGGATGCACTACCCCACACGACGGCCGGGAAAAAAAACATGTTTTCAACAGGGGTGGTACTACAAATCGTATAGGACAAGGCAGATGAATATATTGATTTGTTGTTTTATGATTCGCATTCGTTATGTTTATTATTCGCATACTTATTATGATCCTAGGTCTGTTTGTTATTATTATTCTTATTGGTATTGTTATTCGTGTGATGATTACGATTCGGGTTCTGAATATATATATATATATATATATATATATATATATTATGCGTACTTGCATTGTGCTTATTACATGACTTGCTATCCTTACCCTTATTACTGTTATTCTTAGTATCATTAGAAAGCTTAGTATTATTATCATTTTTTCCTAATAGTCGTATCATTCTTTTTTATGATTACTAGAAGTCTACTATTTATTATTAGTCTTGCTCTTATTCGGAGTATGATTCTTGTTCTTATTAGTAAGTATACTCTCACTCTTATTCGCATTATTGTTCTTATGTTTCGGATTATTACTTTTTACTCCTAGCATTATTAGTATTCTTATTACTCGTATGCCACTCTGATTATTATTATTCGAATTCCAATTGGGATGCCACCCGAGCCCGGGCGCCGGAATTATTTATTTTCGTTCCATGTGCGCGTTGCTGATCGTACCGTTCGGCGAAAACCGCCCCCCATAATTATCTTATTACGGCGCTGTGCTAATGATAACCCCGGGGAATTCCTTAATGGCTTCTTGCGATTAGTCGTGGTGAGCTGGCGCAGAAGTGGCCAGGCGAGGGTCGGGTGATTGCGAGTAACCAGACTGTCACAGGCAGCAGTTGGCCAAATAATTGGAGAGGACCAGGGAGGAGCAACGACTGTAGCAGCAAAGTGGAAGATGATGATGAGGAGGATCGGGAGGGGAGACGAGGAGGAGGAGGAGGATGGGGACGATTACGAAGATGAAGAGCTGATGGTGATGATGATCAGAAGGGGGAAGGGGAGGAGGAGGAGGAGGAGGAGCAGGAGGAGGAGGAGGAGGAGGAGGAGGAGGATGCAGGACGAGCGTGGCGGTGAAGGCGGAGGATAGTATGGAGCATGAGGGAGACGGGAAGAGGAGCAGTGTGGGTGAGGGAGAGAGAAGTGTGGAGGTAGAGGGGCAGGGGGAGGAGGAGGCGAAGGAGGATGAGCAGGAGGTTCTGGAGGAGTTGAAGGAGGATCAGGAGCGCGAGGGAGAAGCGCGCAGGATGAAGCAGGATGACTAGGGGGAGTTGGAGAGAGGAGGACGAGGCGACAGGCTAGCGAGAGAGCACCGTTGTGACCCTGTCATTTGTTTCCTCTTGTCTGCCTCCCTCTGTCGCATCGATTATGTTGTCGACGTGTGGCGTGGTCGCGCGCGATTGGTAGCGGAGCAAGCAGCATCGGAGGATGCCGAGCAGGGGTGCGGAAGAGGTGAAGCAGGGGGAGGATAATTTAGGGTGGATGGGTTGAAGGGGGGGGCAGGAGGGGGAAGATAAGGATGAGTAGGAGGGGGACGGCAGGAGGGTGGGGGAAGGCTCACACAACAGACGATCTGATTTGTCCATTCCTCGGCCCCAGAGGTCTCGACCCCTTCCCTGGGGCTAATTTTTCACCCCGTCCGTGTTTGATAGCCCCAGTGCACGGAAACGGCCCAAAGCGCCGAAATCCAGGAACATTGTCAGTTGAAATAGCCATTTGAAATTTTTAATGCGGGGTCTTTCGAAGTCTTGATCTTCTCTCCAGGGTAGGTTTTTCATCCGAATCGTGTTTTGATCATCGACGGCCCCCCGAGGTCGGAAACCGCCCAAAACATTGCCGCCGTTTTTTTGTCACGACTCGAGTCTGTCAGGGAGGATGCCGAGGCTAGTTCTTCGCCCTGGAGCAATTTTTAATAGTCCCGGAGCCCGAAGATGATCCCCCCAGAGGCCGAAGTCTATGCAATTCTGGCGGGATTGAAACAGTTGTATCGTCGGAGATCTGGGGGTGTCCCTTGAACCACGGCCAGGACATGAGGAGGATGAGGACAGGAGGAGGACGAGGAGGAGGAGGAGGAGGACGAGGATGAGTATGAGGAGGAGGAGGAGGAGGACGAGGAGGAGGAGGACAGGAGGAGGAGAAGGAAGAGGACGAGGAGGAGGAGGAAGACGGCAACTGGAGGATGGCGGGGCAACGGACCGCCTACCCAGACGTACGACAATCTGACTTGTCCAATCTTCGGCCCCAGAGGCCTCGACCCCTTCCCAGGGGCATTCGCCAGGTAGTTCTTGCGGCAGTCTGGCACGAGGAGGCGGAAGAGGAGGACGAGGAGTTGTAGGACGACACCAGGGGGAGGAAGAGCAGGAGGAGGAGAAGGAGGAGGAAAACGACGACGAAGAGGAAGTGGAGAAGGGAGGACGGGAGGATGGCGGGGGCAAGGGTGTCCAGCGCGAGGACCCTCGCCGTCGACGTTGCCAGCGCCCTCGTCGTCGTCGTCGTCGTCGCCCTCGCCGCCGTCGTCGGCGTCGTCGCCCTCGTCGTCGCCCTCGTCGTCCTCGTCGTCGTCGTCGCCCTCGTCGCCCTCGTCGCCGTCGTCGCCCTCGTCGTCGTCGCCGTCGTCGCCCTCGCCCTCGCCGCCGTCGCCGGAGGTCGTGCTCGCGGCCGTGCGGCACGAGGGGCTGCGGCTGCGGCTGGCCGCGGAGGGCCTGCGGGCCGACCGCGGGGTGGTGCTGGCCGCCGTGGAGTGCGACGGCGAGGCGGAGCGGCCACGGCGGCGGGAGCTCTTCGGGGGCGGCAGAGATCTAGGTTTCTGTCGGGGGAGATCTTCGGGGGCGGCGGAGATCTTCGGGGGCGGCGGAGATCTTCGGGGGCGGCAGAGATCTAGGGTTCTGTAGGGGGGATCTTCGAGGGGCGGGTCCAGTCTTCGGGGGCGCGGAGATCTTCGGGGCGGAGAGATCTAGGTTTCTGTCGGGGGAGATCTTCGGGGGCGGGGGAGATCTTCGGGGGCGGCGGAGATCTTCGGGGGCGGCAGAGATCTAGGTTTCTGTCGGGGGAGATCTTCGGGGGCGGCGGAGATCTTCGGGGGCGGCGGGGATCTTCGGGGGCGGCAGAGATCTAGGTTTCTGTCGGGGGAGATCTTCGGGGGCGGGGGAGATCTTCGGGGGCGGCGGAGATCTTCGGGGGCGGCAGAGATCAGGTTTGCATGTGAGAATCTTCGGGGCGGGGGGGATCTTCGGGGGCGGCCGGAGATCTTCGGGGGCGGCAGAGATCTAGGTTCTGTCGGGGGAGATCTTTCGTGGGCGGCGGATATCTGCGGGGGCGGCGGGGACTCGGGGGCGGCAGAGATCTAGGTTCTGTCGGGGGAGATCTTCGGGGGCGGGGGAGATCTTCGGGGGCGGCGGAGATTTTGGGCGGCAGAGATCTAGGTTTCGATTGCAGCCGCAGGACACGAACATAAAACCGATAAACCGATAAACCGATAAACCGATAAACTATTTCGGTTGATCGGTTTATCGGCAGATCGACCGATAAACCGATATGGTTATATCGGTTTATCGGTCGATCTGCCGATAAACTGATCAACCACTAAACCGACTCATTGCATGCGTGCCCGAATCTCAGCACAGTTTATCAGTTTATCGGTTTATCAGTTTATCAGTTTATCGGTTTATCGGTTTATCGGTTTATCAGTTTATCGGCTTATCCGAAATAGTTTGTCGGTTTATCAGTTTATCGGTATATCGGATGTTTCGGTTTATCGGTTTATTGGTTGATCGGTTTATCGGCCCGGCGTTGTCGTGGTTGTCCAATGGGTAATCCTTCGAAATTCTCTCTCCTCTTCCTCCTAGTCCTCCCCTTCCTCTTCCTCCTAGTCCTCCTCCGCCTCCGCCTCCTCCTCCTCCTCCTCCTCCCTCTTCCTCCTCCCCCCTCCTCCGTTCCGATCCTCCCTCCCTCCCTCTCCTCCCTCTCCTCCCTCCCTCCCTCACTGGCCCCGACGCCCATGGTTCTCCTAGTCCTCCGTCCACCTCTTGCTCCTCGTCTCCTCCGCCTCCCCTTCCTCTTCCTCCTAGTCCTCCTCCGCCTCCGCCTCCTCCTCCTCCTCCTCCCTCCTCCTCCTCCTCCTCCTCCTCCTCCTCCTCCTCGTTCCTCCTCCTCGTTCCTCCTCGGATTATAATCAGGATGGCGATGATGATGATGATGATGATGATGATGATGATGATGATGATGATGATGATGATGATGATGATGATGACGATGATGATGATGATGGTGATGGTGATGGTGATGGTGATGATGATGATGATGATGATGATGATGATGAGGAGGAGGAGGAGGAGGAGGAGGATGATGATGATGAGTGGGAAGATGATGGTGTTGATGAAGATGATGATTATGCTTAGTAAGAAGGTGATGATGGCGGTGGTGGTGGTGATGTGGGCGGTGGTGAGGATGATGCTGAAAAGTCGGAGGATTATAAGGCGTCTTGGGGCCGTGTTTGCCGTCTTTGGGGGCGTCGTTGGGAGACGTGAAGAAGCCACCTTCGGCCGTCCACGTGCCCTGTGAAAACCATCTTAGGCTCTCGGAGGTCCTTGACGGCCAGCTTGAGGCCCTCTTGTGCCCGTGATGCACTCTCTCCAAAATTGTTCTCGCTTCGCGTATCCCCACCAGCCCATCCAAAAACAGTCGCCAGGCGAGTTGACCCGATCAGGGATGTGTAGCATCATCTGGCCCAGCAGTGATCCACATCCGCTGTCGAGGTGGAGCAATCGGAGTTGAGAGAAGAGGAGGCATGCGGAAAAGGAGGGTGGAAGGAGCAAAAGGGAGGAAGGCGGGCAATGATGAGCAGGAGGGGGAGGAGGATGAGGAGGAGGGGGAGCCGGAGGAGGAGGATAACAAGTAGCTTGCGTATGCAAATATATAGGTGGCGAAGAAAGGCACGACGACGATGACGAGCAATACGACGACGACCACGACCACGACGACGACGACGACGACGACGACGACGACGACGACGACGACGACGAGAGTCAACCACCAACATCCTTCGCTCTGAGAGCGTCGCGTATTGGAGGCCTCTTGGGGCCATCGCGGGGCACTCTGAGGCCCATGTTGCAAGCCTCTGGAGCCCTCATGATGCGCTCTTGGGGTCCCTCTTGGGCTCTTGGGGCGCTCTTGGGGCCCTCTTGGAAGCCTTGGGTGCCCTCTTTGGGCTATCCTGGAGGCCTCTGGGGCCTCCTGGTGCTCTCTTGGGGCCCTCTTTGGGCGCTCTTGGGGCCCTCTTGAGGCCATATTTGATGCGTTGAAGGCCTTCTTGGGGCAATCGATCATATAAGGAGGGGGGTCCTGAAGTCACCCCCCCCCGTCGGGACCCGAAAATGTGCCTCTTGGGGCCCTCTTGGGCCGCTCTTGGGGCGGTCTTGAGCGCTCTTGGGGCGGTATTGGGGCCCTCTTGGGCCATCATGGAGCCATCTTGAGGCCTCAGGGGCCCATCGAACGCGAAAAGGCGATGATGCAGAAAACTGTCAAAAAAAAAAATTTTGGCCTCTTGATGGGTTCCTTGGAGGGCTCGACAGGCACTTGGAGCCGTCCTGGGGCGGTCTCGAGAGCTCTTGGATGCATGTTGAAAGCTATCTTGAACCATCTTGGGCTATCTTGCAAGATATTGGAGACCATCTGGGGCTCTTGGAGGCCCTCTTGCAGCCATATTGGGCCATCTTGGGCGCTCCAATTCCTCGCGAAACCCTCCCTCCAGGTCCAGGGTAGGGGGTAGGGGGGGGGGAAGCCCCCTCCCCGAAGGGGAAGGAGCGGGTTTAGCAGAACGAGCTCGTTAGACCACTCA